AAGTAAATGACCCTTGTGATCGGGATTCATAGGATATATAATTTACTTGCTTAATGTATTTACGTGTTTGTATGGTGCGCCACAACAGTGACCCTGCCGGCAGGTGATTTGAGTGATGGAGATGAGCTCGTGTGAGGAGATGAGCTCCTGTGTGGGAAGGGAGTCTATCATGGCTGTCCAGCCATTGTCCATCCATTGTACGAACTCTACCGTCGTAACGCTCACTTAGAAATTTGCTTTTTGGATGCTTGGACCCTCCTAGGGTTTTGCCCTGGCACCTTCTGGAAATATGACTTGATTTCGCGCACGGCTTACCACTATATGCGCGACGGCTTGGCATTCGAAGCGCCTGCAGCCCTCGCCTTTAACATTTGGAGCCGCCCAGCGACGACACATGCTGAGCATGCAACGTGTCATAAGTAAAAAGAAATAATACCGCGAATGAAGTTGAGCAGATATAAACATTGGACCGTAACCATACCACAGTACCAGTGTTTGTTACCGGGAGGGCTCACACTCGCGAGGCAGCTGAATCTATTGGATCCACGGGCGCATCCGAATGCATAGGGCGCCATCCCCAGGCATGCTAAGCGTCAAATGCTGGTTATTTTTGTCGGAAATCCTTTCGAATACCAGCTTGTTCACGTTTTTCAATTTCCTTTTACTCGATTTTTTCCTTCAAATTGTTTTCCAGTTCTTTTTTACCCTTGTCGACTTCTATCTACTTCGTTACTTTGTCAGAGCGTTTCCGATTCGACTTTTGTCCTTGTGCGCTTTTTCTCCTTCGACTGTTTTCCGACACAACCCTTATCCATGTCGAGTTTTATTCAATGCGGCAATTGGTGCTCAACATGCGTGTGTGTGTGTGCGTGTGTGTGTGTGTGTGTGTGTGTGTGTGTGTGTGTGTGTGTGTGTGTGTGTGTGTGTGTGTGTGTGTGTGTGTGTGTGTGTGTGTGTGTGTATGTGTGCGTGCGTGCGTGCGTGCGTGCGTGCGTGCGTGCGTGCGTGCGTGCGTGCGTGCGTGTGTGCGTGTGTGTGTGTGTGCTAAAGATACATAATACCACAACATCGGCAACACACACAATACATTACTAGCAGACGTGAGCGACCGAAATAGGCGCATCAGCTGTAAAATGGCACAGACCCGCAGGCAAACTGGGCAAACTTAGGTAACGGGACGGGCACGGGCAAGGCAACATCTGGAAGGAAAATCCTTAAAATGGGGGAGGGACTACATGGTGATGAATGCTGCAGCTTCGCAGGACTACGCAATACCTGCCACGCGTGATTTGAAAAAATAAAGTTGTACTATGTTTTCAAACATGAAATATCAATTGACCATAAATGTGCTACTATACGGCGTACCCACAGACCTACGTCCATCAACAACCAACAGCAATAGCATCCTACGACGGAGGCCATCACGCCCCTCACTTGATTTAATTACTGAGGCTTAGTACTTTGGTCTGCAGACATAAACATTGATTTAGAAGCCACCCTACTAATAACTCGAGTCTCGCCCCGGTATGTTTTTGTTATTACGCAAACCAGCATTGGTGGAAAATGATGCTGAAACTCGTACTCTTACAGTGAGGTGCTATGTTTGACGTGCCGGTTTCTACTGCTGGAACTTGGCCTGTGGCGGGTGTAACTACTAGCTGCAGTGCGTTGGTAGACAAGCATTTCATACCTTGAAGTAGTGTTCGCTAAGTTTAAAAGGTTCGAGCCTACAATCTTTCCATGTTTTCTGGCTACCTATCACTAATGGAGTAGTTACTGAAGCCTCGAAGGTAGGTTTGAGAGGACAGCTGGGCCAGAGCTCTCAGATTGGTATGATCGATTGGTCTGTGAAGTTTAAGAGTTCAGTGTAGGTAAGTTGCATCGTTATGCGGAAAGGATGAAGGTTGCCTAGGATCGGGTTCAGGGGCACTTTAGTTGGTTTTTTTCATGCACCGCCGTGAACCTAGAGCTAAATTTTTGCAACTGTCCGGGAGACAGGATCTCCCCCCCCCCCTCTCCCATGCATAATGAGATTGTTTTCGTTTCTCTGCCTTTATAGATCTGTACAAAAGTGTTTTAGCAGTTAAAGGGAATGTTTCACATTTAAATAATGAAGCAAACATCAGATACAATGAGACGACATCACTTGTAATTATTGGTATTCTTTTTAAATGGAAGACTGCTCTTGACACAACAATTATCTGTTTAGCAAATATGCTCCTCAATATGTGGTGGCTTGATTACGCCATCGTACATTGCACAACATTGATTGAGAATCAATTGTCGGCCGTTGTATCTGGAAATTGCGCTCATGAACGCCATATTGAACGCCAAGACAACTAAATCTGTCGTGGTCTTGATCGCCGCAGGGCTTATGGAATGGCAGGATTTGAATGACGTTATAATGAAGTCATGGATGCTAAGGTGACTTACGAATACTCTCCCCCGATATACGTTTCCCCATTTTCGCGGGCGTGTAGCTCAGAAATAAATGGAGCAAGGACAGGTTTGTGGACAGCGCCGAAAGTCCTTCAAGATAGTTATTTCAGTTCAAAACCCATATAAATGTTGAGCACTCCCTTTAATCAGTAGCTATACAATTGGTGCACGCTTGTGTCGTCATTTTCACTCGTGCATCGTCCGAAATGGTCTTATCGGGCAGCTCCATAACCGGAACGCATAATGTGGTCGTTGGGTTTCAAACACTGATGTGTGAATTTTAACGCTATTTTTTCGGTGTCTGCTCCCGCCGATTTTGTTACGTGTGCAGTACCATCGGTTGTTCTTTTTTTATAGTTCCATTCTCTAAAGCCCACGTGTTCATCAGCTGAAATCAACGCTTCATTTGCTGGGTCCGAAATATTATCGATATACCATACCTGGAACGCTTGTGCATGCAGGTTTGGTTTTATCGTGTAACCCAGTGCCGCTCTTTGCCGATTAGACTCTGGACATAGCCGTTGCCGATCTAGTGGTATTAAATATCTATAGGTGGGCAAGAGGGCCTGGCAATGTTTGCACTAGTTTGCGCCGTCTGCATAAATTCAGAGTATTTCCTGTCACCATCTAACTTCGTTTTTAAACCGTATTGTTTGGCCCCCGACGTCCTTACTCATTTGCGACTGTGAGATGAGGTTGAAATAAGGTCAGATATTGACACTGCAAGTGATATTTACTTGATAACACAGTTGAGCCAGCGCCTCCTGATAAATTGACGGTCGAAGGCCATCATAAAACTCTAACCTCATGATGGTTGTGGCTAGGCGGCCTTTGGGTCGGCTGCAAGCCGAAACGGCACCGACAGCCAGTTGGCTAGTCGATTTTGTGACCAGCTGGTGGCTTGTGACCAGTGGAGGTTCTATGATGGACTATAATGTTGGGTCTGCAGTGGAAAATAGATTGGACGTACTTTAGAATGAAATGAAATCACTTTAAATGTCTCACATAATCCCAAGAACAATGCAGATTTCTCAAGATCAAGTCCAATTTTCCAAGGTCTGTAAGGTTTTAAGGAATTTGACAATGGTTTGCCTGACAATGCTAGTTATTGCTTAAGCAGCATTCCGCTGCCTTGTAAACCTGATAAATCTTGGACAAGTGGTAGCGTAAAATTATGGCAATCATGACTTCTCTGAAGGACGAGAAATTAGTAATTATTGTACTGTATTTGGAGCTTACTTGAATCGTAGCTTATTTCAACTGCCATCTGCCTCTGCGGCTAGCCTACCGATCGGCGGTTAGTCGACAAGCGCTGGCCAGCCGGCTAGCTGAAAACCAGATGACAAATGGAGCATGACATCAGCTAGACCCCACGTGAAACTGAGCCTTATCTACAGGAAACTCCGCCGCACTGCGTCCGCTGCAATGTGAGTGGCCGGGCAGGCGGAGGCCGGGCCGTAACTGAAGTGGTGGGGGGGGGGGGGGGGACATGACCGGACGGTGCACGGGCCGACCGCGGTAAATCCCCGATCTAGCGACGGGTGCAAGAATGCCGGGTACTGCGCACGACGACACGACACGACACGATCGATAGGCATTCAGCGGTGGCGCAGTACTGACAAACATGTGCTCAGGAAGTTAAGGGATTGTTCCTCGTTTATATGGGGTTTTGAACTGAAATAGCCATCTTGTAGACCTTTTGGTGCAGTTCACAGCCCTGTCCTTCCTAAGACCTAAGCCCATCTAGTTTCTGAGCTACACGCCCGCGAAAATTGCGGAGAGTATCTCGGGGAGAGTATCTTAAGGTCACCTTTCCATTCGTGACACCATACAAATGTCATTCAGATCTTGCCATTCTATAATCCATGCCGCGATCAAGGTCGAGAAAAATGTGATGGTCGAGCCGTTCATATCTGGTGTTCGTGAGCAAGATTTCCAGATGTGACGACCGTCCATTGGCTCTGCATCAATGTTTTGCAAGGTACGGTAACGTAATCAGACAGTGACGCATCGAGGAGTACATTTACTAAACAGAGATACTGTGATGTCTAGAGCAGCCTTTTCTGCTTAGAAGTATACCAATAGTTATAAGTGAGCTTGTTGCATGATATCTGATAGCTTTTTTCATAATATATAGCTTGTTCAGCATCAGCTTGCTTTATGAAATCTTTAGTGCCTTCAAATGTGGCAGTTCTTTTTACGGTTATATTTCTTCATCGCCCTTTTACTCCCAGGCACCGCAATTTTTCATTTTTTAAAATAAATTGTTTCGTTTCTATGGCGCACATTCGCAGCTTTCGCTTGCCTTTCCAGCTCGGCCTGCCCGTAAAGGAATGGCGGTATAACTGGCCTTAGCCGGATCGAACTGGCTGAGCCCGGATAATCCAGTGAGATTTGCTTAGACTAACGACGGGCGCAGCTGCGCAGAGACCGGCCGAACCCTTGACATAAACAATCGCCTGTAACCTTGCTCGTGATTGGCTGACGGGAGTCCGGCCCTCAGTCGCTTCCCTCGCCTTAAATAAGCCCGCCGGCCGGCCAACGCCAACAGACGGCAGGCATACTCCCGGTGTAGTGCATCACAGGCCACCTCTTCAAGCTTCAGCATGGTGCTCGAGCTGGACCAGTACTCGGACGGCAAGGCGGCTCGCCTCTGGGGCCTCTACATCGGCGACCAGACCGAGCGCACCAAGCATTACAAGGACTTCCTGAAGCGAGAGCTGACCACCCACGACTGTCACAGCGTGCTGGACGTGGCCTGCGGCACCGGGTCAGTACCAGGCTCAGACACAGGGGCCCGGGTCAGAACCGGGGTCTTAGCCCAAACTGAACCCACGGAATTGGAAGGATGTGAGGAGAATCGCCTGTGAAAAACGTCTTGTAATATTGATTTATAACGTCTTGACCCACTCGCATGCGACATTGGAAGTCTGCGAACTGAAATCTTAGGAATTAAGATGATATTATCATGCAGTCATAACCTTGGATGGAATGACTAAAGAGGCCGCTTATCTCATTCCTGGTGTGTATGGTACTTCTGGTGATGTCAGTAAAATAACGTTGCCATTGGCCGTTATTGGTCGTCATCTTTTGACCTGTTTCAGGCAGACCACAGGGGATTCAGAACCCCAGTTGGGTACTCGTAAATTGCATCATAAACGAACCATTTCACTTCCCAGTGGATTCCACCGCAGCACTGCTATTCTTCGCATTGACAGTCGCCTTACCCACAGCGTGGACTCGGTGATGCTGATCGAAGAGGGCTACCAGATGACATCGTGCGACTTCTCGGACAAGATGCTGAAGACCGCCTGGCAGACGCGCTGGAACCGCCGCAAGGAGGCCGCCTTCGACAGCTGGGGTGAGTGCTCCTCCGGGGCTCACGGGGCTTGCCAACGACGGCCGTACCGATGTCTCGGGCTGAACGATGTCGACTGGTACTTGGACTTTTGAAGGCTACCTTTTGATTGGTTTGCTAGCTGGTATTAATGACGTCATGGATCATGCTAAAACTGATGGGCAGATCAGCGGCAAGACACGCATGTGTTCAAACTTTCGTGGCACGACCTTATGTCCGGGACTTAATAGCTCCACCGCCAGCCCGCAAGCTTGTCCGAACTGTGCGCGAGTGCGCCGTGAGGCAGTACGATGACGTGGGTGACATGACACGGCAGAGATCTTCGAGGCCAACTGGCTGACCCTGCCGCGTGACCTGGACACGGGACGGCAGTACGACGCCGTCATCTGCCTCGGAAACTCGTTCGCACATCTGCCGGACCTCACGGGCAACCAGGACAGTCACCGGTCAGTTACTGAACAAACACGGCCACATGTTGAACAGTCACCGGTCAGTTACTGAACAAACACTGGTCACATGTTGAACAGCCACTGCTCGGTGGCCGAACACCACGTCAACTGCCTCTTGCGGCGTGGCTTTGCAAAGTGTGATATCGAAATTGACCGCACCGTTAAGAGCCATGAAGTCCGAGCGAAAACGTGAAATAATTATTTTTGGGACGATGTATTCCGGAATAGCACCTCATTCAGAGCACGTGGTTGGCGACTCGCGATGTAAATGTGCGTCTAGGTGGCCTGTCTTGCTTCGCGCTTCGCCTCACTGTTAATAGCCGTTGTGTTTTCCGACTCCTTCGTCCCTCTCGCTGGAGTGAAGATCCATCCTCAGACGCTATGTAGCCCACGGGAGTTCATCGCGACATTCGTTTTTCTCGTTTCTCAGGATCGCTCTGCGGAACTTTGCCAGCCTTGTGAAGCCCGGTGGAATTCTTCTAATCGACCACAGGAACTACGACTTTATTTTGGACAACGGACGTGCGCCTTCGCGAAACATCTACTACAACGTGAGGAAGCCCAGCAGGCATGCCTAACAATAGTGTCACGTAGCTCAGCATATATTACAACTGCGCGGCTCAACCAAAGCCAAGCTGTGCTTCAGGGGTCTACTGGTGTCTCACTATCTTGCCATTGAAACGATGCTGCAAAGGATGCTGCTTGCACCAAACGGATGTTTCGGAACATGCAGCTTCGGTGTCCGGTGCCCGTGCTGATATCAAAGCTCACTCGGCTGAGCAGCCTGGCCCCAGGACATGTCATGCAGCTTCGGTGTCGGGTGGTCGTACTGACATCAAAGCTCACTCGGCTGGGCAGCCTGACTCAAGAGCATGTCGTTCACTGCACGCGTGCGTCTGCGTACGGTATAAATGCTTGTATATGCTGCATCATTATCATGTGCGTCCCCAACGCTGCAACGCCAAATTTAAGCTGATTCAAAACCAACCGTTTACTTCATTATCTTCCTTCACTTACTTGTGCATAGCGGTAAGCCTTTTTCATGTAAACAATCCCAGAGATATCACGTGACGTAGCTCGCCATACGCCCCGTATCTGGCCGTGACGTCACCTCCGGAATGTCGGGTCATAGCAAACCCGCCCCATATCCATGATGTTACGCCCTCATGTGTTTATGTCCTCTGCTCCAGAGCAAGTTCGTCTCGGATATCAAGACGTCCGTGATCTATCAGAACGGCACTCCCACCAAGATCGTGCTGGACTACGTCATGGGAAACCCAGACGAGACGACCACTGACGTACTGGACAACAAGGCGCGCAAGACTTCAATATCGGATGACCCGCGCGACAAGTGAGTTTGAGCTGGTCCCCTTGGGAGCCGGGCAATCATAGGTCGGAACAGTTCCATCGCTGAGTAAAAGAAAGACACGCAGGAATGTTAATAGTGTGTTTTGGTGGACTGTTGCGGTGTGTTACGTCGTTAGAGCATTGACAACGCATAAGGAGCAAAAGGATATTTCCTGTTGAGCATTTTCAAATTATTTGCAAGGCCTATCCAAGCACCCAATCGCCGGATGAAGGATGAAGGCAGAGCCAGCACGCTGACGTACGCTCCCGTCCGCAGTGAGTTCACGCTGAGCTACTACCCGCACCGTATGGCCGACTTCCGCGGCCTGCTCGACGAGGCGTTCCAAGGGCAGGCAAGTATAGAGACCCTGGGCGACTTCAAGCCTCTGGGCGAGATCGACGACCCGGCCTTCTTCATCCACGTGGTGCGTAAGGTGTGTGAAGACGATCACACCTGGCACCAGAGCGCCTCGAGCTCAGGCGAGGAGTCCGTCTGAGAGCCGCCGTGGCCTCCGGCAACAGATGACCTGGCCGAGATGGCGTCTCGGATCGGACGCCAGCCCTCACGCCGGCCCAGACACCTTGACCTTAACTCCGCGCCACACGGCACGAGTTAAGGTCCTGCCCGCGGGCAGCGGGTGTCACGGCCTCCTGGGAAACCTTGGTCTTAACCCCGCCGGCCCCGCCGCGCGCCGGTTAAGGCCCTGTCGTCAGCGACACGGGTCTCCCATCCATCGCGACGCGCCGAGCCGGCGCCGTTGCACGCCTTCACGGGCCACCTGCGCGCTCCTCGTCACCGCGACTGAGCTGGGCAGCAGGCAGATGCACCTTGACTTCCACCCCTCGCCGCTGCGCGCCGGCCGCCGCGCGGGCGGCCGCGCGCGACCGGGTTCAAGTCCCCTCGGGTGCAACATGGTCACCATCGGCCACGCCTTGATTTCACCCCCGGCCGCCCGGCGCGGCCCCCACGCCGGCGGATGGGATGAAGTCCTTTCGGGCGGGCCATTCGCATACAGTAGAACTAGACATCCGAAGTTGACAGAGTCGCTGCGAGGAAGGACTCTGCTCTTCGTTCACGGCATTTGCTCCTTTGTGTGCATGTGTCGTACGGATGTGTACGCTTTTCAATGTTTTGTTTTTGTGTGTATCATTGCGAACGTTACAAATTTGCTTGTGAATGTGAAGCAAGATTATCGAAAAATACATCATTCATCTTACATACACGTTTCATTCGGTTGACTCTGAAGCAGGGACGGACGCTCCAGTGAAACGGAGCCACATCGTGCCACATGTCAAAGGCTTAAGCCATGGCGAAGTGCCAAGTCATTGCGCCAATGGACGACGGCTGCTGCATTAAAGCATCGCTGCGTCACAGAATCACTGCCTTTTTTCGAACAACTTATTTCGCGAGGCACGTAATATGGTTGATCCTCTTGACTTTTGCTCCCTGACAAAGCTGGATGTTCCAGGATTTGACCGCATATCATCGGGCCTGTCCTTTGTGGAACGGAAAGCTCTGTCTGTCTCAGCTTAGGTCCACGGAAGGTCAGGAACTGAGAACACGTAAAGTCCGCCTCCAGCGTAGGTTCAAGCAACATCAGGGGCCGCAGGGGCCGCCGATCAGATGCATGTTTGCGGCATGTACACGCTGGTTTCGGTTCACGGTTACATACCTACGGCAACGCTGTACAATGCTCAGCGCATGATCTGTCGGCGCAATGGAACAATAGCATTCTCAACTGTCGTTACCGTTCACTTTGAACTGAGACTTGAAACCAAATGCAGTGTCATGAGAGCTATGCCGAAGATTGCCGCCCCATGGAGAAAAGGCGCATGTCACATTTCTCATTTTGAATACGTTCTCAAATGTATGTCACTTTGGCCGAAGTCGTAATAAATTTCAGCTTGAAATTAATATCATTTTAAACCAGCCTCAAACTGAAGCACGCATCAACCTCCAAATATGCATCATGAAGTCCTCTTGGTTCTGAATTATGTATATATATTTTGCATTATGTATTATTATGTATATATTATTATGCATATATTATTATTATATATCGCTGCCGCACGCTCGCGCGAGGGCGAGCGTGCGGCAGCGAGCGCAGATTCACACGCCAAGTCATCTGTCGGTCAAACACATACCAGAGGGTGGTGGTGTGATGTCTCTTGCTATTGGAGCTGTGTAGAACAGACCGCCGGACACATCGGCCGTTCCCCACGAAAGGACTCGTCTCACTGTGAGCCTTCACGCGATGCTCGTTCTGCTACATTTTTATGTTCGTCACCGACTTCGCGCAAAACAAGGCTGATCTGCAAGCTGGCTTCAAATTCGAGTGTCATGGGAACCTGTCACTCGTGATCTGCCCTACACAAAACATATCTAATAGTCTTGATTCCGTTTTGCATTGCGGGCACAAATTCTACATTTTCACTGTGTTGTGTGTAGTGTGACTGCTTTATTTGCGTACGGCAACTACAGTAGTGATGCTAACTTGCGTAGCATGAATCATGTCGCCCTGGGTGTCCGTGTTTCATTTCGCATCCGACATGGAAATCAATTGTTTTTGTTAGTATTTAGGTCGTTACCAGCCTGCGGACTATCTCTTCAATGCAACTATTTGTGCTGCGAACGTGTCTTCGGCAGTGACCGCAAACTACAACATTCCATCCCATCAGAGAAGTAATCATCCAATGACATCAGCCAGACGGGAGCTGTCCGTAATCAGACCGATGAGACCTGATGTGACCTTGCCATTAGCATGCCGTAATGAATGAAGGCAGATTTCCCACGTTTGGCCTCGCATTGCTTGTACAGGATGAATAATGGAGTTTCGCTACCTTGGAAGTCCAAAGATGGGCAGCGGGTATGGAGTGAGAAGCCTATTTCGCGCCAGTACGACCGTGAGTTTCTGTGTACGTCGAGAAAGATACAACCCAAGAGGTATCCAGACTGTCTAATGCGATATAGCACGCACATAGCCACGCAAGTCGTGTGCGAAGGCATGGCCGACGCCTTCTTGGCCTCTTGTACCATACACAGACAACAGGAACCAGAAAAGGTGAAACGACATATATGTTCTGTCGCTGGGACATAAAGAACACCTGCTACACACTTGGCCACCTGGCAAAATGAGTAGCATGTCATGCGACTTTGCGCTTCGCATGTATACACTGCACGCTAGTATATCCTTCGCCGCAAAGAGCTTTGAAGCGTATCAGATCGTGTATGGAATCTAGAGACGGACAGACTCATGCCAGGTGGCCGCCCCATCGTTATTAAAGCCTGAGTTCCCACCCCCTCCCTACGTGACCGCGTTTGCTCGTGCCCGCCTGTGTTACTGGGTCAAGCCTGTTTGAGTTGGAGCGCACGGCGGCTTCTGTTGCGCGCCCACTGGCGCAACCCGCGCTGCAGTGCGTTTGATGACTCAGGCGCTGTGGTGGCAACCCGCGCTGCAGTGCGTCTGATGACTCAGGCGCTGTGGTGGCAACCCGCGCTGCAGTGAGTCTGGTGACTCAGGCGCTGTGGTGGCAACCCGCGCTGCAGTGAGTCTGGTGACTCAGGCGCTGTGGTGGCAACCCGCGCTGCAGTGAGTCTGGTGACTCAGGTGCTGTGGTGGCAACCCACGGCGGTTTTTGAGGAATACTGCTCGGCGATCTACGGCCGGCGCGGGTGGCGGGCGGTAACCGGCGATACCGCGGAGCGCGCGCGGCGGGACAACTTGTTACATTAACGGAACAAAATTTTCTAAACCAAACATAAAATACACACTGTTGTGCTCAGAATTGAACAAGGAACACGTCTTTCAGGTTTTGAGGCGTCACAAGGCATGGCCCCGTATCTATGATTTTGTAAAGCTGAAAAGTGCGATTTTCTGGAAAATTTGACTTTTGACTTGGCAAAGTGAAGTTAATCATTAACCTAACAACATCAAAAACTGGTGGCAATGGCGATATCTCGTTGAGAACAGCCCAATGAGGTTTCTGCTAAGCTCTAACTCCATTGATTTGGAAATGCTAGGGAAAGGGTCGCGCCAACACCGCGAGCAGTCCGCGTTATGAAGAACGGCGAATCAGGGCGAGGCTCAACACAACGCGGTGAAAGTTAAGACGAGCCCCAGCTCTGGCGTCGAACTCACTCACTCCTATGAGTCCCGGATACTCATGATCGATGTTAATATCATTACCACCACACGCGTTTCTAATAGTACCCTTTGTATCCCTGTCAAGACGTCACAAGTGAAAATAACAGACGGAAGAGGAAACAGAGCTTCTCAAAAAATGGGATATCGATACAATTTGTATGCATTCCAAAACCTTCAGCAGGATCTCGTAGAGCGCATACGGCATTGCTAATTGGATGTCACACCATAGTCAACGAATCGGTTATCAGAAGTCATGTATCGATAACAGACGTCTTCTCTGAAAAAGTAACGGGGCCAAACTGAGCATGGATTCCAAATCCATGCTTGGTCTCTGGCAATGGCTGGTTGACGGGATTGGGCGGTCCATTCATTGCTCCAGGTCATTCAGCGTCGCAGCTGCTCGGGTCGGTGGAATCGGATGGCACACCTCATGCAACATTAAGTCTGTGTTAGAGGCTTTCATGAAGAGGCACTCCTGGCCCCTGCCCACGGGGTTGTGCTCATACGTGCACCCACTACCCATTCCTAATCCATCGTTCCCTTTTGTTGCGCACCCGTTTGCACTTGGGTAACACTGTAGTCCCAAATTATGGAATGGTTTCATGAACGCTTACACCCAAATATGCTGTTTTATCCTGATAGTGTCACAATATATATATATATATATATATATATATATATGTGTGTATATATATATATATATATATATATATATATATATATATATATATATATATATATATATACATGAAGCCAAGTACAATTAAGACAAGCGCAAACCTGACAGCGTAGTGCAGTATTTCTTGCATCTTCCCAACATTTCTCAAGCATCTTATCCACATACATTCCCGTCCTCATACCCGTATGTTCCCAGAATCTGCACCCAGCCCAGATCGTGAACACTCCAGCATCCATGAGTGTATGCAATCCGCGTAATCCTTTAGTCCGACCCCACATTCTCGCTACCGTACGTAACGCATTCTGCCAGTGGAGCGCGACGCCCCGGGCTATCATTGAAGCGTGGCGCACATAGAGTTGGGGCATTGCTTTTTCACGTAACAGAGCTGGACTGAACTGCCGACCGCCATGACTGCACTTAACTGGCCGAGCTCGAGCTGGTGCCGCCTGATGGAATGGAGTGCCTTCACCTCTGGTGTTCACCGTCGTAATCCAGTTTCTAATCGCAGATCCGTGAGACCTTGACCCGCAAGCTTAAAAACGATCACACCAATGTGCTTGAATTGCTCACCTTATGACCTATGACCTATGGTCCATGACCTCGGTTACTCAACGCACGACTGTTTGCAGCCGGAAGTGCCCAAGCCAGGCAGCGAACTCTGGTTATTTACCTCGGGCACGTGACGCTGACTGGTGACCTCTCTAAAAGCGATGCAATGAGGATGCGGCTACCTGTTTTGTGGCATTGACCATTGATGGGCAATGCCACGGCATTGGGCGGCCCATGGTTAAATTTCAGTACAAAGACAAATGCCTGCAATACAGGTCAGAGCATTTGTGCTGTTCCACCAGGAACAACACTTTCAAATCATTACCCTGTTGCATACATTAGTTCATTACCGGGGCTTCGACTGGCGTCCAAGCTGGTCTATAACACTGCATGATACTTTAGGGCATTGTTCTTCAATGTATCTTGAATTCGCGCATCAGTTTTGCGTTCAACTGATTTAGATGAA